GTGTGTGTGTGAGAGAGAGAGAGAGAGAGAGAGAGAGAGAGAGATGGGAAATACAGAATGGGAAGGGTCCCATTGAGGACCAACAGTTGTAGGAGCTCTGCGTTTGTTGGGTGGAGTGTGGAGGGTTTTGATGTGAGTTCAAGGTTTGTTATGGAGGCATGGAATGTGAGAAGCATGAGAGCGCTGTTTAGTCGAATGTAGAAGTGACATGGTGAATCTTGGAGAGATCTGCGTCTCACTTGTTTGCCGAAGAGAAGGATAGGTATAGTATGATCTTGTGGAGTAAGGAGAGAACAAAAGCCGTTATTTATTGGATCCAATAACCATACAAGGTTACAGGCAGCGGAATTCTTAGAATGGATCTTTGATGAAAACTTTTAGGTATCAGGGGATCTTGTCATGGACTGGCTTGCCAATGAAGTGGTGTAATTTAGGTAGTTGGAGAGAGGCTCCAAAGTTTTCTTTTTTCTTTTCTTTTTTTTTTTCTCCTTTTGTTGGGGGGGTGGGGGGTTGGTTGTTGGGCGGCAGGGTGGTTTGCACCAGGTCCTCTGGTGCTTGTTTTGATTTTTAATATAAAAAAATAATTATCACCTTTAAAAAAATGTAAAAAGATTCTCATCCAAAAATTATACGAACTGAAGAAAAAAGTAAGAAAATGACAAATGCACTGAGAAAATGTAAAATAATCTAGGTGTCCAATTTGAAATTGAGGATCATCTATTTTTTACCATTACATTATGACTTGGTTATCTATTGATTAAAAGTAAGGGAGGCCACATTTTCTGGAAACAAAAAAATTCACTTAGAGTAATGGAATCATATTGGTGGGTTTTATTGAACCCTTCCAAGGCTTCTCCACCCTGAATAGGAAATTTAGACCCCAAGTTTGGTAAACGGTGAGAGTGATGAAAATTGCCCGTCAACCTAGAATTCCTCTCTGGTCAAGCACAAAGGTTTCCGGGATTTGATTTGGGCACCTCCATTATGACATCCAGGTGTGCTGTTGCATCTTCAGCTTGGAGGCAATGCATGCTTGCATGTAATTACATTGATTATTAATTGAATCATTATTATAGAATTCACTCTTTTATCTTTCACATTGTTAGGGAGGCATTAGAGGAATCCTCAGGATTTTTGTTGATGAAGTGTTATGGGCATTAACATAGAAAAATTGCAATAAGTAAATTGTTTATAAAACCCGAGAAAACATTTATAAAGCGCCACTGCTGCTGCCTGTGTAATTCAAAATAGAAATTTACTTGAGATTCCGGTAATCGGATGGGTGTTACTTTCCCTCTGGCTCTTCAACCCGTGCACACCCTCTGGCTTTCCCTCTACCTCTACATTATCCAACAATAGTAGCAAATTAAATGAGTTTATGTTGAACAAGGTAATGGCTTGTTTTCTCTCTAATCGTCTAACCGTTTTACACTTTCTAAACCTCTATATTATTCAAAATAGTTAAAATTACGTGATATTGTAATAAGTCTGATAATGGATTATTGTCCCTCTAGACCCTCTTTATAATAAGAAACTGGTAATTCGGTATGAGATTCTGATAAAATCAGATAATGGTTAATGTCCCCTCCAGTCCCACAATTCTGCCTTGCACTTTCACTTTCTTTCCTTTTTGAAAAAATATTTCTTCATTGGTTATTTTTCCTCTATCCGTCAGGTCTGACTGGTTTTCTCTTCCATTTTCTTTTTCAATTTTTGGTTTTGTTTTCAGGTAGATATGGTCATCATCCCCGCAACAACTGGCCATATGGGTGTCCTTCCCGGACATGTTGCAACCATTGCTGAGCTAAGGCCCGGTATTCTCTCAGTTCATGAGGGTAGCTCAGTGACCAAGTACTTTGTGAGCAGTGGGTTTGCATTCATTCATGCAAACTCCTTTGCCGATATAGTAGCCGTAGAGGCAGTTCCAGTGGATCGATTTGACCCAACCCTGGTTCAGAAGGGGCTCGCTGAGTTTCAACAGAAGCTGGCCATTGCATCAACTGACTTGGAGAAGGCGGAAGCTCAAATCGGAGTTGATGTGCACAGTGCTCTCAATTCTGCACTTGCAGGCTAGTAACCATAAAACCAGTAATGAATCTTTTGAAAAAATGAGGTAAACAAGAAAACCATAAAAACCCAAGATTCTCATTCCCTTTTGCAAGATTCTTTTTTCCGCCTTTTTTTCTGGGTGAGACTTGGAAACTGTTCTATGACATGTTGATGTTATTTTCCATTTTGAATTGGGTAGTTTCTACCCCTCTTTTGCTTTGAAGTTGGCTGTGCATGGTTCTGTTTCCTGTTTGTCTCAGGGGAATAAAATAATTGGATAAAGGAATAAGTCATGTGCACATGTTCTGTGCTGTTGTCATTTCTTCGTGGTCTCCATCTGACTGGGTTTGATGTCCACAGTGTGCCCTCAATATTTTCCTCATAAAACCCATGATGGAGGGCCCTTAGACTATGATCCATATGGTCATGAAAACTTCATGATCTAGTGGTTATCATAGTCCCATCAATGGGTTTGATGATGTTGGAGGAAGTGGATCCCACAGTGCAACTTCAATTAATTAACTGTAGGGCCCTACTTTCTCTCATCACTGTCCGATCAATCTGGTTGTCACTATGACCATATCATATTGTATTTTCCTCTTTTTAATAGATAAACCCAAGATGTTCTTTGCTTTCGGCAAGATTTTTTTTACCCTTTTTTACTATATTTTCTTTTCTTGCTGAGATTTAAATATGGCTCTTTGACACCTTCCTTCTTATTTCGTTTTCTATTGAATGGACTCTTACCTTCTACATTATTTCTTTTCCATTTGTCTTCTTTAATCTGAAGTTGTTCTGTTAGGGTTGAATAAAATGATTGAAAGAAAAACAATTTGTTGTACACTTTCTCTTACTCTAATAAAATATTCATTGGTTTCATCTGCTTGTATTGTAGTATTTGTTTGAGTGGGAATACAAGCGAAAGTCATACTTATTTATTCTCCCTCAATGATATATAGATTATGTGAAGTATTTGATTTGTTGATCATATTGTCAAATGTAAAGGGGTTGTAGGATGAAATAGAGAAAGGTTTATTTGTAAGATATAATGATGACTTGCCATAATCTAACAAATGTCCATGTTACTTAGGCCTCCAGATTAACAACATGCTCTAATCAATTATAAGGAAAATATGCAATGAGATTGTTTATTTGGAGGTCACTATCACCTTTAGTCGTTAGATGTGAAATTAGGCAGTTAGGGTTGATCATTTTCAAAGTGTCAAAAAATAATTATTTAAAAAAAAAAAAAATGAAAAAAAAGAACTCCTTTAACTTAGGATATTATTGGCTTGTCTAATTTCCCACTGTAAAGGGTGATTGTGATTTTATACCGATATAGGTGATTGTGATCTTATATCGATGTAAATTGTTTTTGTAGGATGAAGTTCCTTAATTACAATGTATTTAGGTTGACTCATTTTTCATTTATGTTGAGAGTTATCATGGGAGTTGTTTCAACTTCCACCCTGGAGATCCTTGGAGGATTTTGGATGTTTATACAAGTATTTTAGCCTACGAATCCTACGAATTACACAAGGTTGAAACGTTTCAGGAGCAAACCTAGCAAGCCAACGAGTTAAGGTTAGAAAAAGTTATAAATTGATATTTTAAATTATGAAAAAGTTTATATAAGGCCGACACCTTAAAATGTAAAATTAATGTGCATGTCTAAGACCTTTCGAGAAAGGTTGTTTTGATGTTGGAACAACATCTTATTGATTATGAGATAGAGATATATGGATATGATGGAAAAAAGAGTATCAATGAGACAGAGCAATATAGATATGAAGGAAAAAAGAGATTTCAAGTCCTAATATATCTTGCAACACATAATCTGGATCATCTATTTTTAAGATTTTCATGTATTTATACATCTATTTGATTTGAACCATTTTTAAGTTTAAAATTTTACAATTAAAGATAACATAAATTCTCGCACCATCCGAAATTTTCGACATCAAAATTGCATCTCATGACAAAGTTTGGAGGTGCACTTTAATTTGATTGTTTACGCAAACCACACCGTTTAAAATATAAATGGGTGGTTCAAATAAGTACCCTTGTTTTTTTTATGGTTTTCTTATGTTCTAGGAAATTTTTGGTCTGGACTTGACCCAATTGGGTTGTAGCTAGACCTAGACCTAGACATGGGTTGGGTCCAAGTCATTGGATTGGACCGTATAGTTTGGTCGGGTCCAGGCTAGAAATTTAATTCACCAAATATAT